CTCTGTTCGGGAAAGGTGTGTTTGCTGGCACATGATGACGAAGCAAGGTGAATGATAGAGTTTAGAAAGAACCAGACACATTAGACTCTTGTAATTCGAACAGTCACAGAGCGAGGACCTTGTGGAAAAGTACCTGGCTACTATGCAAGATGGTTACGGTCTATTTCTGTTGCTAGTTTTTCCCTTTCTTCTGAATTAAAGTAACCTTGGCCTTATTATCTGAAAGTAGCTCAAGCAGAGGACACAATTATTGTGCAAATTGCGTGCCTCTGGGTTCTCAACTCTAAACAAGGGTCTCAGTTCAGTTTGTTGAGGACTATTTACCCCGTGTTCTGAGAGAGTCTACCAACTGCATTTGCAGATGTGTATTTGGCACAATCGCTCACATTAAACTGTCTGCTATGTCAAGGGCATGGGGAACTCTGGGAGAAAAGCGGTGTCATGTGCAACAAATTTCCCCTGGTTTAAATGAAGCCCTGCGGTAGGTAATCATTGACTATGATGGCTGCAAATGCCCGGCTTTCAGGGCAAATATTCTCATTTAATCATTCAGACAATATGTTTGTACAAAATGTGTCATTTTTCTGCAGGGGTCAAACAAGGTCTGTGGTTGGTGTAATCCTGACCCTTCCTGTCCTCGTGTGTGGGCGATGGCGGAGCAGTTCCCCTGCAGCTGCCAGAGCGATGCTCCACATTGCAGTGTGGTATTTATAGCCGATGAAACAGCTCCCTGTCGTTGGCCACTGTCAAGTCTGATGGGTTCAAAAGCAGTCAGCCAAGAACCAACCAGCAAAACACACAAGCATGCACACACATACAGACTTTTACAATCTCCAAAAGGCTCTGAAGAATGACTCACGGTCTTCCTTGTCCTGGGAAAGAGAGAGTTAGTAAAGACAATGGCTGGGTCGTTCTTTCTTGCTGCCTACTGTCGCAGAACTAGAATGGGGAAAGACAGAGTGAGTGCAAATGTTCATCATGTGGAAAGCTACATGGTCTGCCATTAGGATCCCTGCCAAAGATTTCATCCATGCGATTATCCCACCCCACCGCAGCTACTCGCTTCATCATCCATCTCATGCAAACACACACACACCTGTACATGCTAGTCCCTGCCGCCCAATCCCACACCTCTCTGCCGTTCTAATCAAAACCTATTGGGAGAGACTTTCCATCTGCTCAGAGAGGCAAACTACACTATCATTAAAACTGATCAGAACCTCTTTATCCCCGCCCACTGCCCACATTGCTATGGAAACTCAGCCAAGAGTAGTCACCTGATATTGGCAGAATAGAAGAGATGAGCACGGGGAGCGGGGCAGGGAAATGAGATTCCCTTCACTCCTGTCTGATCCGTGATTTTGAGCTTTATTACAGCCCCCGTCCTGACCTTCACTTCACAGTATGGGGCGAATGTATGTTAAGAAAGTAGCAAAGCACTGCACTCTATTACTCCTCCATTCAATCTCAATAAAATGAGCATAAACCTGAACGTCTTTTCCTGGATTAATAATTCTTCTTCATAATTCACCCCAGGAGACAATTATCTATCGAGGGCATTATTTGATTTCTCAGTTCATTATTTAAATATGACAAATGTGACAAGACAGACATGCCTACAATGGATTTCTGCTAGGCGAAGTGTGCTATTACATGATCATGTGACTATGGCAACATGTGCAGTCACCGCATCAGTGTCATTAATTTAAATAACACAAAACAACCCTTTATGAGCAAAGGTAGCATAGGATCACGTGGGAACATGAAGCTACACATTATGGAAATCCTATAACCACATATTATGTTTTCAAGTTAATGTTTCACAACCATAATTGTGTGAGCGGAATGAGTCCGTGCAAAACATGGAGCTGCAACGAGACTCCAGGGGCCTATGACAAATTAATACATATTTATGGTTCATTTGTGAGAGTTGTGACTGACCGAACAGAACTGAGATTAAAAGCAAACTTTCAACAAAAGAGATAATTATACAACCTCAGAAACTTACATCAATGTAAATGCTAATAAAATACTGGAGTAAAGATAAACTTCACTTATGGTTAACTTGAGCAAGATAAGGCGACATCACACCCTGACATATGAACTTTATAACCAATTTCCTTCGTCTAAATATGAAAATGTGAACAGATGTATTCACTGCTCTCTTTAAAAATGGTATCTATTCAGAGATCAGCATGACATTTGATACTGCACTGAAAAAGGAAGCATACAGTAATTGCCACCTTAGCTGTTTGTACCTGATCTAACCCTTAAAAAATGACTTAACTTAAGTTGGTGTAACTTAGTGCAGACCTTTATATTAGGTTACATAATGCAGTTGATTCTGTCATATAAAATTAATTCAGATGTTACCACATGAAGCACATTTTAGATTACCTGACAAAACATGTTTAAAACTCTATTTGTGGATTTGTTTTAGAATGATTCCCTGAAAAAGGCCTCTAGCTAAATGAACCGCCCCTTAGGGAAGTTACAGGCACTGCCATTGGCTAAGACAGCTCTAAGGACCCTGGCAAGTAAACATAGCAGAGGAGTGTCAAATTCATTCTCTCAGTTTGTCTGACTACACTGTAAAACGTGAAACACGAAGGAGTGACTTTTACCTGACCCATGAAAATGAATTTTCTTGGTCTAATCTAATATAGTCAGGCTGTTTCAGTCAATATTTGTTTACCACTTTTCAGGTTACTTGACAAACATATCGTCCAGTGTACAATTGAAAAGTGCTAGTCTGAAACCTGGCATTTATATTATATGCTAATATAGAGTATTTACATAGATGTGTGAAATAAAATGTTCATATTCTTGTATTTTTTGCTGCTCTAAGGCCAAATGCAATGCAAATCAACTGACCCAAGAGAGATTCAGTTAAATTTTTTGATGATGACCATCCGACTTCAGAGGAATAACATCTCATCATCTCTATCCAGAAACCTAAGCTTGTGGAGGTATCAATTATCACGGCAGATTTCATTATATCATTAATTCCAAGTCAAGCGAGATAAGCTGCTTCAATGCAAAAAGCACTATTAAAGATGTATGAATGTTGAGAGAATGCACACAAGCCCAAGTAGATGTAATAACACACTTGACTATGAAAGCTTGTTATCGGTGTACGCTTGGAAGAGCAGGGACTGGGCATTATGGCCGAACATCTGTAGAAGACATTGATTTTACAAGGCTCTTAAGAGAAGCAAATGTTTTCAGTGCATCGATTAAAACAGCAGACGACATGACGGGAGATAAAACCACAAAGTAGCCTTGAAAGAGTGAAGCCAAATTGTTATACGATGATAATTAATGGTGCCCATCCTGAAGTGTGTCTAATGGGTGTGATAGGAGTGGATTAAATAAGGGAAAGCACTGGCGGAGACAAATAATCCCTGTGCTGTGATTTCCACATATATGCCTTCTAGGTAGGCAGCTCACTTTAGCTAATAAGAAATCAAACTGATCCCAGTGCAGTTGCGAAACATAACCTTTGACAGTTAGAAGAATAGCGAAAAGACTTGTGGGAACTGCATTAAGAAAAACAGTCATCATAATAATGACTTACAGGCTTTATTGCCTTCATCATTTTTTTTTGTGCCTTTTTTAGGATAGGACAGTATATAGACAGGAAGTGAAGTGGGAGAAAAACAGGGACGGGATCAGGAAAGGTCTGCGAGCCCGGGACTCGAACTTGGGACACCCGAAGCACAACATCGCTATAAGTTGGCGCACTGCCCACAAGGCTATTGGTGCCCACACCTTCATTGTTTTTAAAGGGATAGTTCACCACAAAATATAATTGCTGTTCCAAACCAGAAAGACTAATTTTAAGGAATCTGCCAGATGCATATTTACATGTAATTACAAGGTAATGGTGACTAAATTATTAATTAATTACAAGGTAGGGTGACTAAAAAGAGGTGTAAAAGTAGAAAGAGGTCCATAAAAGTAGTCTACTTGATTTATTGCACTATATTCCAAGTATTCTCAAGTCATACAATTGCTTTTTAAGAGAAACAGAGTTGTTATGTTTGGATCAACTGATTCATTAAAAAGATGACTCAAACAAATTGCTGATTTACAAATCATTTCTTCTCTCATGGTGAGCTAAGGCGGGTGTCAAGATCTTCTGCAAATAATCACTCAAATTCCATTTTGTTCCTCACAAAGGTGCCATCTTTTAGCACAAAAACACTTTGAAAATAGCTTACGAGATATGCAGACTACTTTTATTACACATTTATTACAGTTCACAGGCTTGACATTTTCAATCCCCATTCAGTCATTTGAGGGAAACTACATTCTTCGAAATTTCTGCTTTTGTGTTCCATAGAGAGAGAAAAAACAGTTATACAGGTTTAAAACAACAACACGAAGTTAACTGAATTTTATTTTGGGTGAACTGCTTCTTTAAACATCATTTCGCAGTGTTCCGTAACTCGCTGCCTTCTTCACAGGGTTCTAAAAGTAAACACTCCGTTTTCTGCAGCGACTTCGTGTTAACTTGCCTTTCTCCTTTCTACCCACATAAACATGGACACGCTACTGCTGTTGTTATTCCTGCTAAATGTCTGACTTACATTAGGGTCATTTACGCTGCACCACTTCAACAGTCCTGATACAAATCATTTATTACTAATCTCGTCTGGTGTATTTGTTAACAGATTCGTTTGCGCTATATGGTGTGGACTCGCTGAAAGTAGGCTTCCTATATTTGGCACTGCTATTCTCATTCGCAATCGCCTTCATCTCTTTCTAGTACACAAAGACATTATACAGTGTGCCGTGATCGTGATACTCACAGAATGACTGTCTGACCAGAGCATACTTCTCTATCACGGCGCGAAAACACAATGCGCTTGAGCTGCAAAGCTGACCGTTATTTTTGCCGTTCAGCAGTTGAGGCAGCTAGCAACAGGCCGGGATGGAGCGAACTCGCCGGCGAGAAAAACGTCGTTTTCCTTAACATAATGCGACGACGGACTTACCTTGATTTGGCACTGGCGTACTTGTATCTCCACAGCGCGTATGTTTTAACGAAAGGGATGCTTGACGAGTCGTGGCGGAAACAGGAACTGGGGAGACTGACTGCTGCTGTCTGAATTCTCGCTGCTGGGCTCTTGAGGAGGCTGCTCGGCTGTCACTGGGCTGCACTGCGCATGCGTGTGTCAGATCGCCACGATACAAGTGCTCCTCGGCGCTGAATGCAATTTCTTGGATCTCATTATTCATGGTTTTGCCAGCGTAATGCGACTGATTTCTCCGTACAAATGTGACAAATAGTCGTTTCACTAATGAGACCGCAGACAAAGCAATTTAAAGCGACCAATCTTGTGGGATTGTATTAGAAAAGAATAATAAAAAAGCCCACTATTATGCAAATGTAAGACACTCTCGTCTCGGGGTAGTTCAGATTAATACATGTTACATTTCTAATAAACGTCTAGTCTAACATGCAGGCTCGAAAATCTAATGTTCAGTGTTTCCATTCTGAACGTAGGCTATTGTACTGGACACTGAATTCCTGTTTGCAGTATATAACATTTTTGTAGCATTTTTTATAATTTTACATGCATATTTGCATTTGTGTTTTGCTCTCAATATTTTATTGTAACTCTTGACTTGTTTTGTGATCATCATAGCAATTGTACATGTTTACTTATTGATGCAGAATACTATTGTTTTAACATATATAAAAAAAGAAATGAGTTAAAGGTGACATATCATGAACATCTGACTTTTCCAGGTTTAAGTGCTATAATCAGGTCCCTGGTGCATCTACCAACTAAGGAAACGTGAAAAAGATTAACCCAATCACTTTGTTTAGGTAAGCGTTTTTCTGCAAGCGTCTGAGAAAACGAGGAGTCTGATTTCGCTCCCTTGGTGACGTGGCAAAGGGATCTCATTATAATATTACCGCCCCTTAATCTGTAAACTTCCACTCAAGGCACCATCATTTTGATTTCGCAAGCGACAACTTCACAGACACATTCTGGGGACACCAGAGACTTATATTACATATTGTAAAAAGGGGCATAATATGTCACCTTTAAAGTTTTAGAGCCTGGCAGGCCAGTTTTATAGACCTCTTTGCTCAATGGAAGCCCAAACCACATAAGAAAAAACATTCATGCTTTGAAAATCATCATTACTGTATGATATATGATAATATGATGAATGAGAACTTAGTTTAGTACTCACATGCTGTGACAGCAGCTTTCTGTCCCTATATGATAATTATGATAAAAAGTCATAATTATAACATAAAATGTCTAAACTATGGGGCACAAAGTCATAATTATAAGACAAAAAGTAGCAGTTAAGAGATGCAAAGTCACAGTTGTGAGATAAAGGTTGAAAGTGTGAGATAATAAGATAATTATGAGTTAAAAGTTTGCATGTTTGTCACAATTATTTGACTTTTTGTAATAATTAGGACTTTTTGTCCCTTATGAAAATTAACCATTTTATTATAGTAAAAGTGTAGTTACCATGGTTTTGTATAACCACAGTTTTACTACAAACGCCATGGTTATATTATGGTTAGTGAAGTAAAACCACGTTTATTTATTTATTTATTGTTTGTTTGTAAGGGGTATTATATTATAATTTACTAAAGCATGATTTTTTTTTTCTGGCCGAAATGGGTTCCATATTGAACTGTCATTAAAGGCATGTAGAAGAAAGCTGATGTTTAGGATTCTAGTCATTTGTCATACGCTCTGTTTTTTTCTCTCTCTTCATCTCTCTCTCCCTCTTTCACACACACACACACACACACACACACACACACACACACACACACACACACACACACACACACACACACACACTAAATCGAGGGCAGTTTGACTTAATCATTGTTACATCACTCCCACCCAGTGGTCTGACTGTGGAGTCACACCATGAACCTCTCACTGGGTTTTATCAATCTGAACCAGTGCAAATAGACTATAATCAACTATTAAAATGGAAGTTGAAAATAATACGGAATGACTTTTGTATAATAGATATAAAGTCCTTTATCTTATAAAAAGTGAAAATAGCATTGTGAGATATGGTTTTGTTAAAGAGACTTTAGAATCATTCAAAAGGTCGACAACTGTAAAAAGTAAATAATAATAATAATAAAAAAATGTGATATTATGTGATATAACATTGTGTGATATTATTTAGTTTAAGTGGAATAGTAACAAAAATACTGAGAATATTATAACGTTCTCAAAAAAATTAAGAACATTAAATGAAGTTATTGTTGTTCTATCTATCTATCTATCTATCTATCTAGCTGTCTGTCTGTCTGTCTGTCTGTCTGTCTGTCCTCGGTCGCGCTCACCGTTCTCTTGGCATTTTCCTATTTTCTTTCCCTGTGCTATTCGACTTGTTACATTCGTCTGGCAACGCGATCAGCATTATGATTTGTGCTGTCACACGGATAAGTGGCTCTTGCCACTCAGAAGCATCACTTTGCGCACGCGCTTTGCATGGTGTATTATCGGCCACAGAGCTACAGTTGATGTGCCAGGCCAACGGGGCGGGAACATAACCATGGGTGCTGCTATCTCTGAGAATGGTGTGCTAACGCATATTCCCATTATTGGGCCATACAATACAGAGTGTCTTGTCACCTTTTTAGACTCTCTACAGGGATCTCATCCCTGAACAAGAGAGGGGTCAGATTGGAGATGACCTGCCAAAGTACGTGATAGTTTGGGACAATGTCAGTTTCCATCACTCCAACATCATAAGGCAATGGCTTGCAGCCCACAACAGGATGCTGATGGAGTTCCTCTCACCCTACTCTCCATTCCTTAACCCCATTGAGGAATTTTTCTCAGCATGGAGATGGAAAGTATATGATCGCCAGCCACATACAGTACACAGATGACCCTTCTGGCTGCCATGGATGCAGCGTGTGATGACATCACAGCAGATGCCTGCAGAGGCTGGATAAGACACTCTAAAAGATTCTTTCCACGCTGCATCGCAAGAGAAGATATTCGTTGTGATGTGGATGAGAATTTGTGGCCCAACAGACCGGAACGTCAGGAGGTGTAGGAAGACTGCACTGTAATTCCTACAGCACTGCATGTACAGTTTTCCCTAAGGAGATTGTCCTATGTTCACATTTCTACTTTTGTTTTTTTTTTTCTTTGTGCTATGCAGTGCTGTCTTTTCCTTTCTGTATCGCAATGACATGGTCTGTCAACAAATTACAGTACAAACAGTAAAAGCATAAATGTGAATCTTGTCCAGTCTCTTGCAATCAAACTCCCACATACACTAAGGTGTAACCTACAATTTACAATAATTGTCATCAAAACTGTAGCCATAGTTTACATCAGAACATCCCTCCAGAGTACACTGTTATATTGACAACATGACTAAGCAATTTGACTGTCTTATCCGTACACAATGACAGAAGAACTTGTCATTCTGATGGCACTGACATGTTCATTGACACATATTTATTTTTGAGAGATGAACTAAGGATTTTGAGCAAGAGACTGGCTTTTGCAGGTAATCCATGGTGTTTTGCTATTTGTACGAGTTGTTTTGAGAAATGCACTTACTGTTTTGCAAATGTCAAGGATGATTCGAGAAATGTACCAAAGCGACTGAGAAAAACTGTAATACACAATATTGTGTTATGTTAATGAGTTAAAAATGCATTGCTCAAAATCAGGAAATAAGTTGCTTTATAATAAAACGAGGCCATTACGCTGGCTGGAAATAGAAGCTGCATCAGTGTTCATCACTTGTGTCTGGCAGGTTGCAGCACATAAACATTTAGCCACCTCGCTAGCTGTTAGACATTAGCATATTAGGTTTTAAATTTACAGAGGTTTTGGCTTTTTTTTTTTTGGTTTATTACGTTTTAAACAGGCTATAGAAGATATCAACGTAATGTCAAGAGGATAGCGAGCTTAGCAACTCTATTATTAGTTAACGTTGAAGCATGTGATTTTACTAACATACAGTTACATTCGTAGAGATACGAGTGTATTATGTGTGTTTTCAGGCAAAAGCAACAACTATTAAAGAGGCCCTGTTGAAATGGGTAAAACATTTGTTGTTAATTTAGTTTATAACTTAACTTTTATCAAGTTTGAACTCATTAAACATTCTTAGTAAATAAGCTCTGCTCTCTGTCAGTCAAATTATCTTAATTGATTTAATTTGGTTGTCTAAGGAGGAGAAAACGGGAAAAAGCGAGCGAGGCAACAGCAGTAAAGCTTTATGGTCAGATTCCTCCCATTGAAAATATGGACGCATCTCTCTCTAATCTTGTCAACTGCGAGTGAGTCTAAATACACAGATCCAGTTTTTAGTGCATTTTTGGTTACACTTTATTTGAAGGTGTCCTTGTTACAGTGTAATTATACATTTAAGTACTGTAATATTAATTAACTGCATGTACTTACTAGGGGTGGAACGGTTCAACTTACAGTACGGTTCGGTTTGTATCACGGTTTTAGGTCACAGTTTCGGTACGGTTTGGTATGTGCTATGTTTAGGGAAAAACTATACTGTCAAATAAAAATAAAGAAAATAAATAATCTATCTAACTACAAGCAACAGCACAAATAAATGCAATAGTGTAAAGATACAAATAAAATAAAGAGTTTTTTAGGTAGGTCTAACATTAGTTTTTAGGTACAGAAATTGAGTATAAAGTATATTATTGAGAATAAGAGTATATTATTGAGAATAAAGTAATCAAATGGAAAATAGCATTTCATATTTTACTGTATAAATTAAAGATTAATCTTTATTAATGTTACAAAAGCTATTAAATCAAGAGTGAGTGATTTCCTTGTTGTTGCTGTAAGAGAATGCACTGATAGAGTACTAGGCTATGTATGCTGTAGGATGCATACCAAGACGGGCATTTTGACATAATTTTTGTGTGAATTTCAAACAAAATTCAAACACAATACTTTAGAGAGAGTGCGCACGCACATCTTCTCACTGTGCGCACAAGCTCTCGTCCTCTGGCTCTTAAATGTTTAAAGGTGAGGTAAGTGATTTCTGGTAGCTAATGTTGATATTTCAAATCACCAAAACAAACACGCCCCTTCCCCAAAAGGGTCTCGCCCCTATTTTGATAGCTCCGCCCACACATACGTAC